GCCCCGAGAGTGCCAGTTCCAGAACATAGGAAGGTCTAGCCTTGGACTTGAGCAAAGTTTATGTTTATAGTGTAGGAAGAAAATGAGGAAATCGGCACTGTGGACATATGTGGGTTGATGAACCCTGGGAGCCAACAGAGTGTCAGTTTCTTCAGTGAAACAACCAGGTAAGAAAAGGCATGGGTCATGAGTAAGACCTATCTTTGTTGGTAGTGACAGAATATCCATGTGGACCCATGGCAGCTTGGAGAACTGAACTCAGAAACCAAGCAAGAGTGATAGCCACAGCCCAGATCGGAGCCCAGGACCAGTCCCATGAGGATGCTGCACTGAAGTTGACTGCTGAATCTGTGGGGCCTGCACTATCCCTGCCCACATGGAAGCTGATGAAATTCCCATTTGAGACCCTTCTCCCATGTTGTCTCTTGGTTCACCAGTCCTGTGTGAAGTCTGGATTGATACACGAGCTAGAGAGCCTAGCTCATAGGCCTTCACCCTGGATTTACATCAGGCTGGGAAACAGAGTGGATGGAAATTTAATTCTATAGTCCAAGTAGCTCTTCTATCAAAATTCAAAAGTTTGTATCTAAGCTGTATCTGTTGTACAGTGTTCTTGTTTACAGTTCTGGAGTTTTCATTCAGTTCTATAAGCAGAAGGGGATTATTAAAGAGCTTAGTAACTTAAGGAAGCTTGGGGAGGATGAGAGGAGCCAGTGTAGAGATCCTACTGACAGGGGCCAGAGAGATGGCTCAGTGGCTAAAGGTAACTGCCACCAAGCCTGATGACCAGAGTTCAATCTTGGGGACTCACGTGGTGGAACATCCAGAAACTCTAGAGCCCAAAGCACCACTGTAAGAGTGATATGCCATGACACAGCTTCAGCACGGCTGTTGCTGCGACACCACCAGGTACTGTGTCTACTCAGGACTTGACTGTAAGTACTCCATCTCAGTTTCCCAAGAAAAACTAGCTGTTTCCACTCCGGCCATCACGGGAGAAATTTCCAGCACATATCTTTGTTTCCTTGGGTTGTGCGCTGTCATGCCCAGTCTTAGGTAAAAGCACCAGGGCCCATGTCACATGACCAGTCTCAGGTGGACTTTGGCAAATACAACTCTTGTGGAGTCTACAAGAAAGCAGCACACGGATGTGAGAAGCTGTTTGAAGGAGTTGTGTGGCTCGGAATGGCAGATGCCGCTACAGGATGGAGCTTCCGGTACATAGGAGACTACACTGAGCAGCTGAAATAATGACAGACAAGAGAAATGACGAGTGGCCACGAGAAACATTCTGAGCCTCAGTCCCTCTGGCCACATTCCTAACTCAACATTCCATTAAACAAAAACTCCCCAGTGGTCCTTACCTTTTGTCTGCTGCCCTTATACATGAGTCCCAGGTACATACAACAGTACCTTATAAATGAGTCCCAGGTACATACAACAGTACCTGGGGCATACTAAGTACTGTGAAAATATTTGTTGAATGAACAATAATTTCACACTAAATGAAAATAATTTCACATTAAAAATAGCACATTATAAATGGGTCAAGCATCAAGAAGAACATGAGTTTAGCGTCTCTAAGAAACAACAAATTTAACTGAATTATCAATAACTGAATAACTGAATAACTGAATAACTCAACTGAAATATCCACAGCAGGGAGAACCCTAAATGTAAAATCCTTTTCCAACCCCCAGGGATATAAAACAGCTTTTAAAATGAAGCTGGGAGCTGGAGAGATTCCTCAGAGGCTAAGCTTGAAGTAGCATCAGGGACGAAGAACTTCAGCTCAATGGTGAAGGTCAAGAGGCCAAAACAGTGACCCTTTCCCTTCCATGTCCTTTTATCTGGGCCTCCACCAGAAGGTGCCACCCACATTTTGGCTAGATCTCCCCACATCAATCCAGACAACACCCCCAGATGCACCCACAGTCCAACCTGTAAACAATTAATCATTGCAACACTTTACCAGGTGATTCTAAGTTGTGCCAAGATGACAGTTGAAGCTAACCACCACACTAACCAAGAATGATACCCGTTTGAAGATGGAATTTCATTTTTCAAGACTTCATTTTTTTCTTTTTAAGAATTTGTATGCAAAACAAGCGTTATCATTGATATTTTTCATCTTGTTTGTTCATTTGTCCTCTACTAGGTATCGAACCTGGGACTTCCTGAACACTAGACAGAAGCTCCCCCTGTAGGTAACATTTGTAGCACTTTTTATTTTTCGACCTTCCTCAGTTCTTCCAGATAAGTAGAATTATGGGTCTGTTTCATCAGGTGTGACATTACATTATTTAAGTGAATAAACATATTAATAAAAATTGTTATTGGTGAGTTCATGAAAAAAAGACTTGGTATGTAAAGTCCATTTTTTTTGTAGTCATGTTTTTCTTCTTTGCTTTATAATTTTCATAAACAAATTTATGGACTCAATAACACTCTACCAGTCAGAATGCAGATGTATGCAACAGAAACCACTGTACCTCTTTCAAAGAGATGACGTATTAAACATGAGTAGCAGGCAGATGTATTAAATATGGATAATGTGTCAGATGTATTAAATATGGGTGACGGGGCAAACATATTAAGTATGAGTAATGGGGTGAGCCAGCAAAATCTGTGAAGGGATTTGTTTCCAGGCAACTGAACCTTTAAGAAAGAAACACTACCATTGCTCTAGAAGCTACCACCTCTGCCCCAGTCAGGTGACCAGCTCTGGGACCAAGTTTCAGAGCACATGGGCAGCCAGCAACTCCAAGGTCTCTGGATTGAGCAGCTGAACCAAGGGTTATGTTACTTAGTAAGACAGGGACCTCCTGTTTGTGAGGCAGCTTTCTATTGTCATAATAAATACTCAATGTAATTAGCTTAGAGAAGGGGAAAGGTCTCTTCTGGCTCACAGATTTAAAGGGGTCTTTTCATGATTGGTTGGCCCCATTGCCCACAGCAACAGCACATAGCAAAACCAGTCACTCTAGGAAAAGGATGCAAGGGAGAGGAAAAGTGAGGGTCAGAGTCCCAATATACCCTTGAAAGACATGCTTCTAGTGACCAGAAGATCTTACTTAGGTCTTCAGCTCTTCAAGGTTCTGTCACCTCCTAATAGTGCTGTGGGTTGGGGACCAAGGCTTTGGAGGAGCCTTAACCAAACCGTAGGCTCCTGGAAAGAGCAGTTGTTGAAGGCAGGAAAGAAGCAGAGTTCTACCTTAGTCAGGAGCTGTGGAGGAAGGACCATTACACGGTCAGGCAAAGGTGAGCGCGAAGAAGTTGAAACCCAAAGGAAAGCCTGTCAACTAGAGGCTTTATCTAAGAGTTTGTATACAAGCTGGGCTGCAGTCTGATTCATCGGCTTAAAGGAAAAGTCAGCTTTACTTTTGAGGACACTGTATATACTGAAAGAGTCCTGTATCACATTCTTTTCATTGTGGATTTTTTAATATTTTGTTTTGGTGTGTGTGTGTCTGTCTGCTTGTCTGTCTGTGTATGTGTGTCTCTTTGTCTCTGTATCTGTCTGTGTGCTTCTATCTATATTAGTCAGGGTTCTCTAGAGAAAAAGAACTTAAAGAGGATTTATTAGAATGACTTACAGGCTAGTATTTATTTGAATGGCTGAAAGACTAGGATTTATTAGAATGGCTTACAGTCCAGCTAATCCAACAATGGCTGCCTGTGAATGGAGGGACCAAGATTCCAGTAGTTGCTCAGACCACAAGGATGGATGTCTCAGCTGGTATTCAGCATATGCTGAAATCCTGAAGAAGTAGGCTCTAATTCCGACAAAGGAATGGACTTGCTTCCTTCTTCCATGTCCTTATATAGGCTGCCAGAAGATGCTTTAGTTGCAGATTTAAAAGGTGGAATTTCCCACCTCAAAAGATCTGAATTAAAGGTGTATCTTCCCACCTCAAAATATCCAAATTAAAAGTCTTCTCACTTCAAATGATTTAACTAAGGAAAAATCCCTCACAGGAGTACCCAGGCACTTAGGTTTCAGATATAATCAAGTTGACAACCAAGAATAGTCCTCACTGTCCAGCCACTCTCTGCTTCTTAAATGTGAATCTCAGAAAATAAAACCATCCCAGACAAGACCTGAGGCAAGAGGAAGAAGTACCTGAAAAGATCACAAAAATCAACCAACAGTAAGCCGGTTTCTCACCATCTAACTGGCAGCAGCTAGAGCAAAGGAAGGTGTCAATTGTCCATTGCAGCAAGGGAGACAGTTTTTCACAACAGCCTTGGACTAAACGGTGGATTTGTTAATTGAACTCATTAATGGGTGAGGTTTCTGTTTTCCCTCTTAAGTAGGGAGAGCACTGGGCCAAGAGGCAGGAATTTTCCAGAAACCTCCAAGAAGCCCAGCTCACTTCGAAGCTGTGTTATTTCAAATACAAAGGGGGAAAGGCTCGATTTATTTCTTCTAAGCATCAAGAGAGAAAGGATTCTGGGTTGGCAAGCTATGACTGGAAGGCTGTGTTGTATTCTAGAAACACTGCTTGGAGAAGGCAGATGGAAGGGGTTTGCAAAGATGTGTACTGAATTTAGAGAAGAGATATGCCAATCAAGACCAAAAGTAAGGAGAGAATGTTTGTAACTTCCTCCCTCCCTCCCTCTGTCTCCTATTAAGATCAACCCTCTCTCCACATACCAAGCCTGTTCACGAAAAGTCGAAGTCCCATAATGGGCGGGGAGGTGGGGGGAGCTTGGCAGTTTGGCTGGGAGTCTTACACAGGATCCTAGGGCTTGAACTGGGCAGGAGGAAGTGGCTAAAACCAGGCTTGACACTTGAGTGGAACATCTAGCTTGATGCTCCAGGCAAGGCGGGAGAGTAGGCAGGGCTGTGTCCAGAAGTGGGCGTGGCATGGCGTTGTGGAGCGTAGCGGGGGCGGTGCTGAGTCTGGAGACTCTAATCTTTGGTCCCCCAGCCACCCTCTCCGGTCAAGGCCGAAGCCTTCTGACTGTGTCCGCTCAGCTCTGCAGCCCTGGCCGCCATGGCGCTGCGTGTGGCAGCGTTCGACCTTGACGGAGTGCTGGCCCTTCCCTCTCTCGCTGGCGCCCTCCGACGCAGCGAGGAGACCCTGGAGCTGCCCAGGTAAGGGGATCCGCGCTGGGTCTATGTTACAGGTGGGCAGTCCCCAGCCGCCGAGTGCCCTGCCTACACGTCCAGCCCAGGTTTCAAATTGCTTGGCAGGTGAGCTTGGGCAAGATCAAAATCATTGCCTGGTACTAAAATGCCAGTGTGCACGAGTAGATCCGTTGCCCTTCTAAATGCTAAGTAATTAAACCTAGGAGAAAAAAAAAAAAGTCAAAATCGCCCTTTGCAAACGAAGGAGATACTCAGCCATTTGCTACCGGTTTAATTCTATTGAACTGGATCTTTAAAATACCCGCTGAGACTTACAGAAAGTTCTGTCCAAAAGCTAGCATTACAGGAGAGCTAGCCCAAGGGCAATTTAGAGAAATGGCCCACCGCCTGAGGACCTGGGAGGTAGTTGCTAACAACAGAAACTAATGGCTCGCTTTCAAATGGGGGAGGGAGAAAGCAGGGGCCTGTAGAAAACTGTCTGGGAAAAACAAAACAAAACATATCAATATATCCAGACATGGGGCTGGAGAGTATGCTATAGTTAAGAACATGTTCTTTGAGAGGACCTACATTCGATTTTCAGCCACCATGTCAGGAGGCTCCAGGGGCTCTGACGCCCCCTTCTGGCCTCCTAGGGCTCTTGTACTCACAGATGCACACACAGACACACCTACTTTAAAAAGTAATAAAAATAAATATTTTAAAGATCCAGACGTTACTAATTGTTTGTGAGCTCACGAATGATTTCCCCTTTCCATTTACACACATCTTATAATCAGAAAGGAGGAAAGCGTATTTATTTTTAAAAATTAAAAAGGAGGAAATGTTACTCTGGTAGGACTCAAAGAAAAGAAGGAAGAGGTAATTCCAAATAACCACTGAGAGGAAGCGGCATAGTGGCAGCTTTGTGATCTGGAGATCTGATGCTTCTAGAATTCTTATAACACTAACAGGGCTTAACCTTTATTCTTTATAAAGGAGGCTCAACACCTAGAACAGCAGTTCCCAACCTGTGGGTAGCGACCATTGGAAAACGCGTATTTCCGATAGTTTTAGGAACTGAGACGCCGGGCGTTGGTGGCGAATGCCTTTAATCCCAGCACTCGGGAGGCAGAGGCAGGAGGATCTCTGTGAGTTCAAGGCCAGCCTGGTCTAAAGAGCGAGTGCCAGGATAGGCTCCAAAACTACACAGAGAAATCCTGTCTCAAGAAAACAAAAAACAAAAAACAACAACAAAAAAGAATTCGCTTATGAAGTAGCAACAGAAATAATTTTATGGTTGGGGGTCACCACTATATGAAGAACTGTATTAAAGGGTCGAAGCATTAGGAAGGTTGAGAACCACTGCTCTAAACCCAGGAACCTTCTCAGATGTGGAGAGCAGGGCATGGCAGGGAGATTCCCTTGCTTGATCATACAGTAGCCTCAGTGACTCTGAGAACAACGTTCCAGTGTAGTAGTTTCCTCCCTCTCTGCCTCCCTGTGGCATTGTAGCTTCTTTGGCTGCTGTTCTAGAAAAGTATCTGACCAGGGTGAATAAATAAAATGTATCAGCAACTGAGAAACAAAAATAAACTATTGACCACGAAGTCCACCATCAAATGGACACACAACAGTTTAGTAGATTTTGACAGAGAACTATATTTGAAAATGAAAAGTCACCTATTTCCCAACCTACTTCCCAGCTCTGCTTGACCAATAGGAGGCATGAAGAAGGAATAGTGTGTGTGTGTGTGTGTGTGTGTGTGTGTGTGTGTGTGTCCATTCCCATTTTTATGTGAGGGTATGGATGGATGTTTTGTGTGTGTAGGTGCACAGGTATGTGCTTGTTTAACTGTCTTTTTAGTCATCTATCCTGTAAAATAAGACATTGCCTTTCACAGGGGATTTTGAGTGAAGATTAAATTAGCTTATATGTAAAGTGGATGGGCAGCTGTGTTCTTGATACATGCCATTATTTATAGAAGTTCTCCATGTCTACAGAGTGATACACTGAGCATAACACTTGATGGTATTCTCACACAGTTCCTTTGTGACCATGGTTAGGGTTGTGCCTGGTGGGGGCAGGGGGGCAGCATAGAAGAGGCTATGGCAAAACTAGCTGAACAGGAGAGGCCAGAGAGCTGGCTTTGAGTTTGTTTACCCATGAGATGTGTGGGCTAATCGTGTAGGTTTCAGAAAGTGAAGAAAAAGCATCTTCCATGCACTAGGTATTTTCAACATGCTTGCCTGCAGATATAAGAATTCCATCCACACAAGCAACCAAAGCTCAAACTCACAGCCACGCCCTGAGAAGTACGAAGTTCTTAGAAATTTTCTTGTGTCTCTTATTATTTGCTTCTGTTTTGTTTTTGTTGTATTTGTGTGGGGGTATTTTGTCTGTGTGTATATCTCTGTACCTTGTGCATGCCTGGTGTCCATGGAGGCCAGAAGAGGGTGTCAGGTCCTTTAGAATTGGAGTTCTAGGTGGTTCTAAGCCATCATGTAGGTGCTGAGAATCTAACAAAGGTCCTCTGGAAGAGCAGCTGGTGCTCTCCAGCTCCTCTTGTATCTCTTGATTCACCAGTTTCATTTTCTGTCAATGACAGAGGGCCTTGCCAGCAAGCACAACAACCTGAATTCCATCTCCAGGACCCACATGGTAGAGGAGAGAACTAACTCCCTCTGACCCATACATGTGCACTGTGGCATGTGTGTGCAAGTGCACACACATATACATAAATAAATGTAATAAAAAGTAGAGTTCATGTTTTTCAATGGCAAGAATAGTCTTGTTGTATCAAATTGCTTCTACTTCAAAATAAGCCTGGCTTGCTCTTACTGTATAAATGTAGCAAGGTCTTATTGCAGCCCTGCTATTCCTGTGTGTTCTTCTGTAGTCAATCCCCATTTTCCAGGCAGAAACAAGTAATTTCCTTAGTTTCCCTATCTCGCTCATATACTACAGCTCCCCGCTTACCTGTCACTGTGAGTCTCCTAAAGGTGGGATTGTTATTTCCCCATCTTTTACATCACAGATGGTAGCACACAGCCATGCATGCCTTAGGTGTCTAATAAAATCTTGTGCTGTCTGACTGCACGCTGGTTCTTAAAACTTCAGATAAAGGGCTTGAGGGATGTCACGGAGGAGAAGGCAGTGCCCTGTTGCTGGACTGAGATGGCATTTGCATTGCTTTACTAAGAACTATTGAATGTCAAGCTAAAAACATGCAAATTTGATGTCTATTGTACCTTAGTAAGATTGTTCAGAAAATACTGCTGGCAGAAATGTAACAGAACCAATACTAGTATGTGGAAGCTGGGCAAGGCCACAGATCTCAGGTACCGGTCTTTTATAGATGCTCAGAGTTGATGATTATACCTGAAAGAGGGTTAGTCTGGTTTTGTTTTTTTTTCTTGTTTTTGTTTTTTAAATACTTCTGTATAGTCAGAAACAAAATTCCCAAGTAGAAAATAATTGTTCTTCTACTTGGGGATGGTAAATAGTTGCAAGGGGTTTGGCAGTTGCAGCTGATAATAGACAAGGTGTGTTCGTTAGTCAGGGTTGCCAACAGCACAGACTGGCAGGTTTAGCAGGGGAGTATTCCTGGAGGGCAGAAGGCCAAGATCAAAGTTTCAGCAAAGCTGATCTTCTAGTTTCTTTTCTTTTGCTGTGATAAACACCATGGCAACAAGCAACTTGTCGGGGAAAGAGTTTGTTTGGTTTATAGGTTACAGTTCGTCATCTAGGGAAGCCAGGGCAGGAGCTCAAAGCAGGACCCTGGAGGCAGAAACTGGAGCAGAAAGAATAGAGGAGTGCTGCTTACTGGCTTGCTATGCTTGACTTTCTCAGCTACTGTTCTTATACAACCCAGGGATGGTCTTCCCACAGTAGGTTGGACTTTCACACATCAATCATTAACCAAGAAAATACTCCACAGACATAACAACAAATCAGTCTGGTGGAGACAATTCCTGACTGGAATGTTCTCTACCCAGATGTGTCTAGATTTGTGCCGATTTGACAAAAACTAACTGCCCTGTGTCAATGTTGACACACAAGATTATCACTTTAAGTAATACCCCTTTCACGGCTTGCACCCAAGCTCTCCATGTTAATATTACAGTATAAAATATAATCTGACTTTTTAAAGTCCCAACACTTAGAAGTTCAAGATCTCTTTAAAAATCAAAAGTTTCTTAACTGTGAGCTCCTATAAAGTTAAAAACAAGTTATATACTTTCTTATTCCAAGAGAGAAGAACCAGAGAGTACAGTTACAATTAGATCAAAGAAAACACAAACTCCAGCAGTGTAAATAGCTCAGTGCCTGACATCTTGGACTCACTCATGATTTTCTGGGCTTCAATGGGCTTAAACAATCTACTTTCCCAGTGCTGTCTGCTACAGCACACAGTTTATCTCATAGGCTCAGGCTGGCTCCACTCCACACTTATACTGTCCTAGGTAGATGTACCATGGTCCTGGAACTTCTAATATGCTGGAGCCTCCACTACAATGGAAGCTGGTCTCCCTGGTGACCCTGCCATACAGTACTGAGGCTCACCTGTTTTCCATGACCCCTTTAATCCTTCAGCTTTCATGTCATCAAAACTAACAGCACCTGGGAGACTCATGCTCATTGCCAAGCTTGGCTGCCAGTATGAGATGCACCCTTGCCCTTCCCTGACCCCAGTCAAAGCTTCTGAGTGCTGACCCTGTTGAAATACCTTCCAGAAGATTTAACCTCAGTGATTCTGGTCTCTTGATAATAATATCTGATTCTTCATCCCCAGCTGACCAGAAACCACAGGTTCTTAATCAAAAATATCATACTTTATTTGTGACAGTTGGTTACCTCCAACAAATCTCTCCATGACCTGAAGCTAGCACCATCTCTGTGTGCCCAGTCATGTTCATGCTGTGTGTGTCTGAATAGTCTCTTTTTATTAGACTACCAATCATGTTAAATTAGGACCTCATTACCTTCATTATCACTTTAAAGATCCCTCCTCTAAATATAGCCTCATTGTGAAGTACTGGAAGGTAGAATTTCAGTGTGGGGATTTTGAAGGAGAGCTATTTCAGTCCTTAACACAGGAAATAATTTTAGAAATCAGAGATTAAGATAAAATGGGAACTATATGTACATAATAAATACCAGGAGAAAATTGCTCTTTTTGAAGAATGTGAGCTAAGGATGGCTTCATGTGAATAAACTTGACCTTGGCTTACATCTTTCTGTCCTTTCTGACAATAGTGTGTCTGTGAATATAAATGGCAACTGTCTGTCCCTGCTATGGGATACATGATGAAGCCATCAGAGAGCTGGTGATGGTGATGTTCCTTGTGTCTTCCAGAGGATTCCTGACTGATCTTTTCCAGAAGGAATGCCCAGAGGGACCCAATGAGCAACTCATGAAAGGGAAGATCACATTTTCTCAGGTGAGAGGACACTGTGTAGACCCCTTGGGAGGCTCTCTGCTTTATTGTGTTTCAACACTGACCTTCAACTCACCATGGACAGGATCATGTCTTCTTGAGTCATGTATCCTCCTACCCTCCATAACTTACAAAGCAGTAAGACATTGGGCAGTGTGTTTAGGACTGGACTGGAGTCTGTCTGGGCCAATCTGAGGGGCATTTCAAGCCCTGAGGAACTGTGACAGGAAACATGTCAACAAGAGTAGCTATTTCAGGACACTGC